ACGTACGGTAAACTTTTTAACTCAAATGCCGTTTACCGCACTTGTTGCATAATATACTATTATCACATATTTCAAAATTTTTAATTTTTAGATTCGAATGTTATTTCCTTTCTTACATATGAAGCAATAAGGCAACTTGTTCAAGATTCACAATTCATCAATGAACAAGACTGAATCTGCCACTTAGTTTTAATTTGATAATTACGTAGAATTAGGCGAATCCATACTTTTAAATTTTAATATTCTGTGTTTTAACATAAGTATGAAAGTTCACCTCCACAGTTATCTAGGTCGCACCTAGGTAATGTATTACTAAGATAAATATAGTTTTTGTAATGAACACTTAAGTCCATGTGTTTTGTTTCTTTACTGGCCATAGTAATATAAAATTTAATTAAAACATAATTAAAATTTACAAAATATAAAATAATAAATGTAGCCCTCTCAAAAGTTAGATTCGATAGACAAAATCCTAGGGCTCTCTTGGCACATGTTAATATATGCTCAATATCGTCTGGAACGCCAGCCTAGACAAGACAGAAATTGCGACAATGTTCAGAGAAGCGACCCTATAATAGAACACCATAATTGCAACGGGATATAAAGAGACAACCATAAACTGTGAGTTTTCTGTGGCGCATTATTTATCATTGATCTTATAAGCAAACAAACATCGTGTACTGTTTTCAGTCGTCTATATCTAAAACATAAAAAAAGATATATTGATTGCGATTTGATTGAAGGTTTGTTTTTCCGGAGTAGCTGCATTTTTTATATTTTATAATTTTTAATATACAGACATAATAGGTATAAAAATAAAAAATATGCACACATACATACATTAAACTTATGGTTTGATCAACGCACGTTAATAATTAATTTAAAAAAAGGGTCATTCTCGGTTTTGTTTAATACCTAGATTTAAATATCTGCGAGAATAACTAAGGTCGCTAGATACAGATACAGATAGATTTCTTGCTAATGAATTCTCACTTAAGCTTTTTGCTCGGTTGGGGTAATGTATTCAATTCACATTTGGTAAATCTAAGCGTATTGCACATGGGGATCCCCTAAGTTTATATAGAAATAGATAGATATTGATATTGGTTTTTCTTGCAGAAAGTCGCAATTAATGGCAATGTAGTCATATTATCAAGAAACTATATGAGGTAGGAAGAGTAGTACGAAATATATAATTAATAATAGGTAATTCATAATATTATAAACATTTTACCCAAAGATAGCCAGTAAGTAACAAGTGTGTAAAACTGCAGTAAAAAACTTTTTGTTTGAAACTCATAGGAGGAAAATCCATTATGTTGCAAAAATATTATCGTATATAGTCTAGGTCAGCTATGCTCAATCGCAATGATAATAAAAATGTTACAATTAACTTATGTCGTAAGTAGTTATTTATTACCTTGTAAGATTTTGTTGTTAAAATAATATCACTGGTACGCGAATTTTTATTTAGAAATTTTACTTGTCCGCGGGCCAAAATAGGTTGACATACAATTTATTAAAACAAATATAATTTATATAGTTAGTTTAGTTAGATTTAGACTATAAACTCAGCTTATAAACTCTCGGATGTTGCGTTACATTATTCTTTTCCCATTTGCACTTATTGCACTAGATTGTGGCAATCGATACAGACTTTGTTTGCAGTACTAGAACAGAGAAAAAAATACCTATGCGCTTACAAGTTTCATAGTTTACGTAAAAAGTGTTTTCTATGATTGTCTATTTTTTATCCCTTACCTTTATAAAATAAATGTATATTGAGTAGATTGTACGATATTCTATTCTACATACATATCTACTTATCATAAAATAGCTGTCTAATTAGATTTTCGCGTTGTCGAAAGGGAACCTCTCTGCTGTCGTAACCGCCCCTTCCAGAAATCTAAACATATATAACCCCGTCTCTATTTTGCATAATTTGCCCTCGAATATCCTCCGCTTGTTTCACCCTACAATGAAAACGATTTCGTTGTATCCACAAAAGCACAACGTTGATCCTTTTGTTGTGGTGTTTCGCAAAATTATTATGACAGTTTTTGCGAAAATCGACTTTGCCAAAATGTTCTTAATTCCAGCAAGGAGATCAAAAGTGCAAACAAAAAACATGTATTAAAATACATTCCAAATTAAGCCGATATGAAAATAAAAGCTCATACCAACAATAATTTCATATACATTATATACGTTATACGTTTAGTTACTTGCAGAACCAAAATAATGAATTTAAAATAAATGTATTGCTACAAGGTATAGGGGCAATATATTAACAAAAAAGGTATTTTATTTAGTTAAGGAGTATGCACATTGGATAATTTCTTATAAATTTTAGGATACTTTACTCATATCTTCCATTCTACATTAATCCGTTTTTTAATTACTCGTTTTAAATACGCTTATATATAGATACTACGCATTTCTATAGCAATGTTATTTTTAATTTTTGTCATTGTTGCTCTTGTGGCTTATTTTTATGCTAACTTTGTTTTATGACATTGTCTCATTTTAATATTGTTCATGGTGTATGGGCAACCCTTATATTTTGTGTATATCCTATGCGTAGGTGTATGGGCAACCCTTATATTTTGTGTATATCCTATGCGTACTATAGTATATTATGCAACAAGTGTGATTAACGGCATTTGAGTCACGAGTTTACGCAGAAAATTGTTAATAAACGAGTAACTTAAAAAGTTTGCCAAACGTGTTGCATACTATACTTTTTCTACGACAGTTAGTTTTTGGGTACAATTTTTGCAAAGCAACACGAATACATTCACTGACATGGTCGTCAGAATTGACATACGTCAAAATATCAAGTCGTGCGGTAAAATTTCCGAAAATATCCGATTGCTCCTAAACTCGTGCGGTAATATCCCGGTAATTTGGCTCGGATCCGTGGGACAAGAAACTCTCGCGGTAAAGTGACGCTTCCCGCACGCTAAATCGGTGGGTACAGATGGGAGTAGAAAAACTATTTTTCTTTACTAAAGATTTTTTTTTCAGAATATTTTTCCTCGATAAATTAATATAATAAAATAACATAATCTGCAAATCTATGTTCAAATCTCTGCTTGAACAACCTTAAAGCGTTTAAACTTACTGATTTTTTTTGGTACACGACGCAAGTTTAATTAAAGGAAAATTGCTTAATTCCTTAATATTAAGTTTACGAGTTTAAATTTTTTTTTTCAATTTGTCGGCTCAATAGTTCAAATTACAATAACAAAAAATTAAACACCTTAATTTTTTTGAATTTCTAAGATGGTCGCGCAGAATTTTAATATTTTTCTGTTCCTTTTCTATTGTTGTTTCGGTGACTGCTTTGTCTTTAGTTCTCCGAAGATTATCCATCCGTTGGCATATATTAATTCTATTAGTTTTTCAGTTCGTTAATGGGCTTTTAATAAACGTTTAACAGAAACATGAACCCCTGAAACACCACAAACGCCACAATAATTCTACTAATTCCCAAAATTTTGCCTAAATTAGTCCCCGGAGCAGTTCTTAACGCGAGTTGTGAAAGGCTTCTGAGGAATAATAATCGCTCGCGACGGAATTCCCTTAAATCGCGGCGATTACGTCTGACACGGCATTATTTATTTCCTATGTCATCCCTCGGCATAATCTCCACTGTCGTAACGGCAAAACCTTACAACGGGGCTTTCATCCCCATTAAATGGGGGTTAATTCAATATAACCTTCTTACGCAGGGTTGCCGCTCTAGGGATTCCGAATAAAACCCGGGAAATGTGTCAAGCAAACCGTGTTCGCTTCCGTTTTCCTAACAAACATAAAAGCAGCGAGCGCTTATACTGGGTGACCCCACATCCCAAGACAACATCTTGTTTAGTTTAAGTATATATCCGTCGTTCATTTCATTCGGTCCTCAAACTGAATCTCCTACAAGTTCACTCTTATTGTGTTTATTTTTGTTTGCTCTAACAAAAAAAATCACTAACGCCCATGTTTAAGTATTTTTCATGCAACCTTGCTACTTCCTCGTTTTATACTTATAGTGGTGTTCGTCACTGTTTTGGTAAAGTAAATGGCGTCGAGTAAATTATTTTTTTAACTTAGTCGTGGGCCATATGAACCAATAAGTGTTTTATAATCAAAGTCCTGTATTCTTGGATCGAAATCGTATAACCAATCTCTCATTATATCACTTGTCATCCAGGCCTTTCTATTAGATCTCAAAATGACTGGTAACTTATTTGGTCAATGCTCTTGAATGCCCTAAGGTCTGGCTGATTTGCCTATAACCAGTAGCCTTTCTTTCCCTCCATTTATTTTGACACAATGCAATATATTTATCCGTTCTTTGGGGAGTTATCCAAATCATTTTTCTTTTGTTAGAGTCAGAGTTTTATTTGGTAATGCGCTAAAAGAAGGACCTGTCTCGACCTGCTGCAACGTTAGAAACTGTCGTGCTGATTTCATTGTTAAAAGATGAATAATTCGGAGTTTACATATTTAACCTCCTAATGAAGAACTGAAGCAAGAACCACAAAAAAGAACCGACGACGCAATGGATGCTTCGGGGAATCACCACATTTTGTGATTAATTTTATTATTTTAGTACTTCCACGACAGCACGTTTTAGAAATTTCCGTTTAAGAGAGATTTATGTTGGAAAAAATATTAAAAACACTGTCACGATAATGGCTTTCGTATGGAAAGTTGTCGCGATTATATAAAACTGTATATCTGTGTTTCATATGGTCAGATGATGCCAATCACGCTATCAAATATCGTATTTGGAATTCCCAAGTAACCAAATTCAAATATGTTTGTTTCCTCTTTTTTACTAGGCTTTCTTCTTTTTCATTTTTTTGCGGCTGGTTCAAATTCTCATTTGCTGCTTTCTATGTAAACAAAAAAAACTTATGCCAAATGTTAATCAACTACAATAACATTTAAATTTTTTATAATGTTGTATTATTATTATGTTTCTAATATTTTATTTTTTGTTACAGTCCCAGTAATACAGCTTTAAGTTCTCCGGAACAACTGAAGGATTACTTGTTAAGGTCCGGCACCTGCAAGTGCGGACTAGAGTGTCACTTCAAATACGAAAACGTTTTCAATTTCGATCCTAAGGTAAGTCCTTTGAAATTCAAAATTTTCGTAACTTTGCTTCGACTATGGTAACGAATCCTACGAAACCGATATTAGTTTCTGGATTGCAAAATCATCTGTTTGATTGTTTTATTCAACACAACCCACTACCTTTATTAATTAATAATAATCTTTATATAAGTCATGCCTGGAATATGGATATAGCACATTTTCACTCATTCTTTATAGACAATTGACTCGAACAATAATCTTAGGAGGCTTTACACCTGTGCCATATTTTAAACAAATAATATGAAGGGTATTATCTAGATTCGGGTTTAAAGGCCGTCGTCGGTTGAAATTACTTCCTAACGTTTCGCTAGCACGAGTGGCGAGTTTCTTCAGAGGTCCTTCCATCTCCGATGTTGGACATAGACTGTCATTCTACGTCCAACATCGGAGATGGAAGGACTTCTGAAGAAGCTCGCCACTCGTGCTAGCGAAACGTTAGGAAGTAATTCCAACCGATGACGGCCTTTAAACCCGAATCAAAATAATAGCTTATCAACGGGCCGCGAAAGCCTTAACCAATTTATTAAACAATATGAAGGCCAGGAATAAGCTAAAGGAAAAGCTAGATGACTAATGTGTAATTTTTATGCCAGTAATTCGATAATTGTGTTACCTGCTATTCGATGGGGGCTGTTTACGCAGTTAAGATGATCGTCAGTTGAATGACGACAGTGTGGTGGTCGCTTAGTTGTCATGGTTTTGGTTTTGGTCATTGATTTATTAATAATTATGAATAGTAATGAACTATATGTTTTAAAGAACAACAACACATATGTTGACTTGGCTAACTTATTTGGTTTCTCATTTCCATCTTCTCGGTTAGAAGGTTACAATTTCAAATGGATAAATGCCTAGACAACTTACCTAGAAAATAATCGCTTGGGAACGGTGCAAAATTCCGCTTTCAACTAAAACTAGTCCTAACATATGAGCTTTTAACAAATGTGATGAAACAGATGTTAAAAGTCACATCATATTGCAACAGTCATATTACAACTCGCGCTATTACTTCGGAGAGTGTACTAACCCAGCAGTCGAACTTGAGTGCTACTTAGCAGCATTGAAACTTTGTTGGTTCACCCTTTTATAATCAACTACCAATTGGGCTCAAAAAAATACCTTTTAATCTTTTTTCTTGCATATTTACTTCAAGTATGTCTTCACTATTTTTAAGTATAAAAAAGAACTAGAAACATTAACAAATCAAGAATTTAAATCTGTTAATGTTACTAAGATTAGTTATGAATCCTTGTGTTGGCTTAATTTTACTTTAAGTATACTTACCTGATACTACTAATCAGCGGTATGTTTTGTCTATAAACGCATTTTTGCGTGCATCTTGTTTCTGGAGATTTTTATTTCTGTTTTTTTTTCGTGTGGTTGTTAGTACTTCTTGTCATTAACCCTTATTTATTTTAACAAATTAATGTCGCACTGCCAACAACGTAAAAATATAAATAACTCGAAATTGCCAAAGTTGCCATAAATTGATGTGTAAATCGGAAGAAAAAAATTTTCTATTAGCTTTGAGAACACCTTCGAACATCATTTATCATCAACCAGCCATGAAACACTCGTGAATACAAATCCAGGGCCCTGTCATTTTGATAATTCTTATGACTTCTCTGCAAACCTTGAATATTTCGATATTTCGATATTTAGTATATGCAAATAGGATTCGAATCTCTAACCCAATGTGATGTTATGTAGTTGGTAACTGAGTTTTTCTTGGTCTTGTTAGTTTATTATTGTTAGTATATGAAATACGATTTAGATTTTATTTGTTATGGTGAATTTACGAGGATTGGAGATAAGAGACGACGATTTTTTGTCACCAAACCACAGATTCAACGGAACTGTTTATATTTCAGTTTTTGACCATTTTCTTCATTTTGTTTTGAAGGTTATTGATAAAAGAAAAAACAAAAAAAACACCTTAACAAGCAAAGCGTCGGTTTCATACCTAACCTCACAAGTTGCAAGTAATCTGTTAAATTTGTTAAGATTTGAATGGTACAGTTTTACACTAAAAGTAATAAATGATTGATTTTAGTCAATCCGAACAGTTTCAGGCAAATATTAAACTCAGGCTAATCTACTCACGTTTAACAATGACAAGGCAAATCGCACCGGATATTCAGCGATTCAGCCTTGCCTCAGTCTAGGTATTGCAAACATTTCCTTATTTATCAACTATGCTCGTAACATATACAATATATTATCCATCCGCAACCTCTTTTCTTATTATGTAATTTGCCAGCGATAATTTACATTAAGTTTTTAAAAGTGCCATTAAATCGTACGTTCTGGTACATGGCAAATTCGCCGCCGAGGCGAAAAATACAGATTTCGCCAATTTAATTTAACGCTCATGCCGTTTTAATTGCATAAACAACGCTGTGTTAATCGATCATGTTCCACTCATCCGAGATGCCAAAATGGAAACGGGATTGTTTACGGAGTTGACCTACTTCAAGTTGATATATTTTTGAGCTTTTATTTCCATGCATGTATAATTCAACGTTTCGCGCGATAATTTTGAATGATTTAAATTCATTTTTGGAGTATTTCTGGATTCTAAATATTTACGTATACAAAATTAACATATGCGTGCGTTATGGATACTAATTATTGAATTTGGAGATGAGCCAAATATTACCAGTTGATTACATTCACGGAACTAGATGGTTCTTGCGGATACTGGTAGCAGAAGTATTGATATTAGAACCGTGAAGCGTTCAACTGGAATAATCAAGATCTTTGTCAAACATAATCACAATTTGAACATTTATTAGACGTTTTTGATAACTTTTTATAGCTGAAATGTCGAAATAAATTTCTCTTCGCATAGGGCATGGCGGTTATTCGTTGGTACTTTCCGAATAGGACCTACTGATAAATTAACTATAGCGTGTGCCTAATTCCATAGCCAAAATTTAAAAATAAATACCTAGTACAAAGCGCCTGTCTTCCTCTCCAAATATTTTGGAAATGATCAGCTGGAGGTGTAGGTGCACTTTTCGGTCTAAAGGAGTTGGATTAGGTACTGTGTTATGCTGAAACGTAACGAATTCTATCTGTAAGGATCAAATATTTATCCACTAGAATTTCGCTGGCGTATCTGGGGCATTGTGATTTTTGATCTACCGGAGCTGAATAAGAATTTAATACCTCAGAAAATCTTTCACATGTACATATATCATTCACATCTATATATCACACATGTATATATATCATGCAAGTTAATGAGTGAATCTGGCTACACTGCTGGCCCGAACCGAGATATTATTCTGTCAAATGCGACTATATAAGTTACTAATCTACCCAACATCCAAAAATACTTTGGTCAAATATTTGACTTTTTAAGTTGGAAATAATATTCAATATCTCTTACCGTTTTGTAATGTTACAAATACACAATGATTTAATTTTTTCAATAATAATGTAAGTAAAACTAGAGCATAGATTGCAACAAACAATTTATAATGCATTTTTAAGCCAATATTTTAAGAGACAACTTTTTGTGGTTTTCTTTTTTGAAAATAGTGAATTGGTGAGTTGCCAAAAGCAGCAACTTTTAAAACGCTTGGAAAAAAAGTAGTAAAAATTTCCATTAATTCAGTTAAAGGTCTCTGAATTTGGTACCCATTAATTGACTATCTTCTAGGCTTTGAACTAACCAAAAATGAATCAGTTCTCTATTAATGTTTCTTGATATTTGATGTTCCCAGTGCTTCAAAATTGCCATGTGCAATGATCTCGTTTTCTCAACCGAGGGGTTTGTGTCCAGGCGAGAATTCCCCACATTAGCATACGCCGTGGCCTGTCTACCATTTTTAGCCTACATGGAAAACATTCTCCTCCATATCAATAAACGAAACTGCATTTCTTAGCGGAGGAGTTGATTTTTTTGATTTTAATACGCGTTATGGAAATTCTTGGTTCCACTCGTATAAAAATTGTGAACGTTTGAAGCGAAAGAAAAAGTTGTGAATTGAAAATTGACGCCTGATCTTGGTAGTACGTTGTTTTAGTACTATTTTAATTATCTGTAGGAGAATTAAAGCTAAGTATCAGAATTGATTCTGGAGATTCATACTTCAATTCTATTCTTTGTCATAAAACGAACGATGCACCGCCAGATTATTTTTTATTGACCCCTGAAATTTTTTGGCACTGTAGATGCAAAATTTTCGTAACTTCGTTTAAAATATTGTTATTTATTAATAGTGAATAATTCTTTCCCCATATTTCTCGACTGGAAAAACACACATTTCTAGTTATATAATGTATTATACGTATGTTATAAAATTATCGTTAAAAATTTAAATCTTTTTTAATAATTTTTACTTTAAGTTAAGAGCTTTGTTATACTTAAGAAGAAAAATTTATACTTAGGACCACTAGTTTAGTAGAAGTACAAATTGCAAAATAATTATAAATATAAATAATATGAAATAAAGTAATATTTTAAAATTTTCGAATGCAGTAATTACCTAGCTTATTAATACCACCTTTGTTTTGGAATTGAAAATTTTTAGAGGTAATATTTTAATATTCTGAGGGAACATATTATATAAAACAAAATCTAACGATTTTTTTGCAAACTTGTGCAATACTGATGAAAATCTGCATTAATAATAGAATCTGCTTTAGTTTTACTTATTTAATTGTAAAAAAGTTAGGGACTTAAGTACTTTAAAAAATGGTGCATATTGTTCTAACAATTTCTATTTGTAGCCTGAATAATTTGATTTCATACGAGGAGTATAATTACCGTGTGATATTTGCCAATTAAAAAGTGCGTAATAAAGTGTTACAAGGGTATTTTTTCAAAAAACACCCCGTAGCCTTCTTTTATGTGGGGTCATTAAACCTCTGATCAATATATTTTTTCAGATGTTCAGAAAAATATTTTTCTATTAGTATCTCAGATTCCTCAATCCAATATTTTTTTCAATTAGGCACTC